TGAGCATGCCATGCTGGGCAGTCCTTTGCCAGTGACTTCCATGTCACACGATTGATTCCAAAGTTCTGCAGAAAGACCTTGAGAATTTTCTTGTATTGCTTCTTCTGACTTTCATGTGAATGCCTGCCTTGTGCGAGTTCTATGTAAAATAATCAGTTAGGTGAATATGGTTTTGACATTTGAACAATGGCCACCCCATTGGAGTTGTACTCCCTGCTGTAGAGTTTGAATGCCTGGCAACTTAACTGGAGAAAGGATCTCAGTGTCCGGTACCTTGTCTTGCCAGGTGATCTTCAGAATCTTTCTAAGACATTTCAAATGGAAGCAATTCAGTTTCCTGGCATGGCACTGGTATACTGTTCAGGTTTCACAGGCACACAACAATGAGGTCAGCACAGTGGCTCTGTAGACCTTCAGCTTGGTAGGCAGTCTAATACCTCTTCTCTCCCACACTTTCCTTCAGAGCTTCCCAACACTGAGATAGCTTTGCTAATGTGTATGTCAACCTCATTATCAATGTGTACATCCCTGGAAAGTATATTGCCAAGATAAGTGAACTTATCCAGAGCATTCAAAGTCTCTCCATTTGCAGTAACCAATGGTTCCACATATGGACAGTGTGGTGCTGGGTGGTGGAGAACCTTTTTTTTTTGGTGTTGTTAGGCCAAGCAGCAGACAATCAATCTCTACTTTGTTGCATGTCAGCCTCAGAGGCTACATTGAGTATAAAATTATATGTGAACAAAAAATCATGCACCAATTCTCCCCCCACTTTAGTCTTGGTTTGTAGCCTTTTCAAGTTAAATAATTTACTGTCAGGATGGTAGATGACCTTGATGCCATTTTTGTCCTCATTGAAGGCGTTTCACAACATTGCTGAAAACATTATACTAAAAAACATGGGAGCAAGCCACAGCCTTGCTTCCCTCCACTGGTGACTGGGAAAGCATGAGAGCATTGTTCACTATCCAGAACTCATGCAACCTCATGACATCATGAAACTGACATATAATACTGATCGAACTTCTCTGGGCAACCAAATTTTGACATAATTTTTCACAAGCCCTTATGACTGACAATATTAAAGACCTTGGTCAAATTGATCTCTGTTCTACTCCTGACATTCATTTTTCTACCAATATTTCTTTCTTTCTTTTTTAATGAAATACTAGTTAAAAAAAAAAAGAATGATCAAAGAAGGGAGAAGACCTTCACTTGAAGTGGTTGACCATGATCACTGGTCACAGAGAGGAAGCAGAGTTGCTGAATTCTTACTTTGTTCCTGTCTTTTCTGCAAAGGAAATGGAAATTACAGAACACAAATAACTTATGGGGTTGAAACCCAAGACAAGTAAAGAGATAATAATCTAGCACCTGGTTGCCTTTGATCAATTTAAGTCATTTGGCCCTGATAAATGACCTCCTTGAATCTTGAAAGAGCGGAAAGATGGGATGGCTAAGCCAATGTCAAGGGTATTTGAAAGATCATGGAAAAACAGGAGAGGCACCACAAGATTAGAGAAGGATAAATGTCCTGATTTTCAAAAGAGGGAAGGGAAGATAATCTGCAAACCAGTGGGCTTGACTTTGATTCCTGGGAAAATTTTAGACAAGGTCATTAAAGAGATAACTGGTAAACATCTATAAGGAAGCAGTGATGACAAAGCCAGTCCAGCTGCATCAAGAAGAGGTCAGGCCAAATTAGCCTCCCTTCCTTTTTAGATAGGCTTACTAAATCAGTAGATAAGGGGAGTGCTGTGCATATAATTTATCTATATTTTAGCAAAGTTTTTGATAAAAATCTCATACTATTTTTGTGAAGATGGAGATTAGAGAGCAATTCAATCAGACAGATTCAGAAAGGGGAAGATAGGCAGATGAAAAGAGCTGTTGTTAAAGGTTCAGTGAGCGTCAGTGTGGCAGGAGATCTCCAGTGGGGGACCACAGGGATCCGTGGTTAACCCTATGCTGCCTGACAGTTTTAGCAATAATTTGGATAAAGGTATAGATGGTATATCCATCAAATCTGAAGATGACATAAAGATGGCTAGCTAGTAGATGACAGATTTAGGATTCAAAGGGATCTTGACAGGCTAGAGCATTGGGCTGAATCTAATAAAATGAAATTAAATAGGGATAAATGGAGTCTTGCACTTGGCTATAAAAAATCAACTTCATAAGTATAAGATAGAGGAGGCATAATGGTTAGACAGCATTTTTCTAAAAAAAAAGATCTGAGGGTTTTAGTGGACTTCAAGCTCAGTATGAGTGAACAGTGTGATGCAGCAGCAAAAAAAGCTAATGTAGTCTTGAGCTGTATTAAGAGAGACAGATTACAGGAACAGGCAGGTAATAGTCCCACTGTATTCTGCCTTTTAAGACCTCATCTGGTGGATGTGTTCAATTCTGGGAGCCACAGAATTGATGGCTGGGTTCCCCCTTCTTGGAGGTCATCAAGCAGAGGCTGGATAATCCTTTCATTATTTCTTTGGTAAATGGGTTGGTCAAGGACAGGGGTGAGAAACCTGTGGCCTTTCAGGCCACATGTGGCCTTCTAGGTCCTCAAGTGTGGCCTTTTGACCGAGTCCATGTTTTACAAAACAAAGCCTTTTATTAAGGGGATCTGTTCTGGGTAGTTTGGATTCAGTTGAAGGGCTGCACTTGAGGACCCAGAGGGCCACATGTGGCCTCGAGGCTGCAGGTTCCCCAGCCCTGATGTAGACTGATAAGTTCCCTTCAAATTCTTATCTTCTGTAATGTCACTCTCAAATTAAATTTAACAAGTATCCATCCACACGTCATGGATTACATTAGTTGTGTACAAGAAATTCATTCAAAAGGTATTTATCCCAAATTATGGTTTGGAAAAATATGTTTTTTTAATCTACATTTTAGCTTTTCAAAGTGTCTAATTTTTATATTAGAATAATATAGGCTCTAAAGAGCATACTCCAGTCATGTGGCTGCTCATGAATGCAAATATAGTTTGTTTCAGCATCACTTAATCATTAGGAACACTGTAAGATTGTTCAACTAGCACCCTCTGTCCTGCATTGGTAGCTCTGCATACAACTATAGCCAAAGGTCACCTCAGAAGGATAAAAAAACAAAACAAAACAAAAGAAAACAAAACCCCAAAACCCTAAACCATGCACAATCCCTGCATTCCATTTACACAATTCCATCTCTATCCTCATCAAAAAATATTTAAGTTCTCTGGAGGCAGTTATAAAGAATTAATTTCAGCCTGTTGTGAACATCTAGGCTCTTGGATTTAAGTGGTCCTGTTGATAAGACAAAGATGGTCCTATTGGGTTGTTCTCTTTCCTTTAAGAAATTATGGCCCAAACCTTCAATAAAGGTGCTCAGTGGCTCCAAAATGCAAAGTCACGGAGCTTTCTTGGTTCCATGTGGAAACATCAAGATCTGAAGCAGACATTTAAGGCTGTCACATTTGCTCCCAGTTACTCCTCCCCAAATCCTTAGCTATTTCTCTGCACAGGGTTTTAGAATCTATTCCTCCCTTCTCCACCAAACTAAGAGCTCATCTTTTAAAGCTTAGCTCCAGCTTCGCTTCTTCTGTGAGGCCTTCCCCAACTACATCACCTCACAGTGATCCTGACCTCTCCTGCACTCCCACAGAAACTGGCATACCCTGCCTTGCAATACTAGTTATCATTTCTATCATATATGATGTAACTCTTGGGCAGTGAGCTATCCCTCAATAAACCACACAGGAGATCAACCTCAATACATAGTAATACCTCATAGTTTATCTTCTCAAGCATACTGTGAGCTCTTTGATGCCAAGAATCTAAGGAGCAAGACCTACGTTTTTTGGTACACTCCTCTCCCTAACTTTCTTGGCCTGGCACATGTAGGACTCAACAAATACATGTTGACTGATCAATCTTTTTTTTTTTAAACTTATATACAAAATAAGAAAAGAAAAAAAGCATTGCCATGTGCATGGCAGAATGTAAGAGAGGATGCAAAATACACAGAAATAAATTTCCATTTCAAGAAAAGCCTATATAATAAATACTACACATTGTGTTCAGAACTGTCCATTTTTCCTTGCTTCCTTATAAGTTTTCTTTTGTCCTCTGCTGTACACTTTCTTTTTAAAAAAATTATTTATTTATTCTTAGTTTTCAACATTCACTTTTACAAGATTTTGAATTCTAAATTTTTTCCTCTCCCTCGTCTCCCCCTTCCCTAAGATGGCCTGCAATCTGATATAGGCTATACATATACAATTATATTACACATATTTCCACATTTTGACTGATCAATCTTATCAGAATGTAGGGTACTGAGCTGCTTCATGGGAATACTTAAATAAGGGGTATATACGCAAGAAAAGGCACTGTAATGGAAAGGACACCGGACTTGGAGGACATGTATTTGAATCCTGGTTCGTCTCTTAGATGTGCCTCACTTTCTTGGGGCCACTGTTTTCTCCTATTTAAAACAAGAGGACTGGATGAGATGATCTGTAAGGTCCGTTCCAGATCTAAATGTTATGATTACAAAGAAGCACAGTGGAAGTACAGTGGAAAAAAGACTTGGAGTCAAGAAGACCTAAGTTAGAATTTCACTTCTGATACTAGCTATATAACCCTGGACAAGTCACTTAAGCTCTTTCAGCCTCATTTTCCTCATCTGTGAACTGGGGATAATAATACTTATACTACTTACCTTACATGGTTATTATTAGAATTGTTGTTTTTATATTGTTAGAAAGAGATAATACCTAAAACACTAGATAGATGTCAGTTACTATGCTAAGTGAAGACAGAGCTCTGATGGCATGTCGAAAATGAGAACTAATAGACAGCTGATCCTGCTTCCTGTACCTGAGAGGATTTGAAGATTAGCAATTAGGATGCAGAATCCCTATATGTGGCTTTTCTCCACGTGACTGCAGTGCTCTCTGCAACCAAGGGCCCCACAGCTGAAGGGCTGTTAGGTTTGTTAGGGTCCCTAAAAACTTTTACCTTTGACAGCTTGTTGGATGAAGGCTGTTGTCCCATCACTGAGGGTCACCGTCTGCAGTCCCAAGTTTTCCATGGCACACTGCTGCTTTCACTCTCAGGCATGAATTTTGGTTTTGGGCACCCCTGGAAGCCACAGCTGGGTGAAGAAATTTCCTTTTAGGTCACAAATCTGACAAGAGAGGACAATGATATACTGTCAATCACACAGCTCTGCTCTGCTGGAAAGGCATCTATTTGGGAAGGAGCAGCCAGGGCCTAGAAAGGAAAGTGGGAGAACTATTTCAATAGAAGTATCAGAACTTTCAATAAACATGTTGAATAATTGATCAAAATGGAGAATACAAATGAAACAGAAGCATTACGGTCATAAGACTTGGAAAGTAAGAGTTCATTTATCAAAACCCATTTTCCAATGGAATGCTATCTTAAATAGAGGCATAGTGGAAGGCAGGCAGCTGATAATTCCCACTGCTCCTACTTTTCAGGGTCCAGGAGTATCAGATCAAGATCAAGTCCCCAAAGGCCTCACCTTCTATCTATGCTGTAAATAGGAGTTATCGTTACCTGCAGAGTGGTGCCTCCTTGAAGTTACCAGCATGTACGTGCTTGTGAACCCTTGCCTACCTGCACTCCACAGAGAACATAAACCAGGCCGGAGAACCAGTGTCTCCTGCCCTAGGCTTAGGAGGCACAACTCTTGTTGTCTGCTGCTAGCTCTTCTTGACCCCTTGGTTACTTGCAACCTACCTGTAATGATCTCTCAGACTGGTTCTGGATCCAGATCCTTCACCTGGATTTATATACCCCATCTACTCCAAAGTACCTCCCAGCAGCGATGTCTAATTTGTCTCATCAGATCAAGGCTGGTCCTGTCCTACAAAGAGGCACTATCCAAATCTCATCACAACAGGGAAACAACTGCTACAAAGTGAACTCCTCAATCTACAGGAAGGGCTTGATAAGAAGCCAAAGACTGATAAATAAATAAGGTTGACCTTTCCACCCAAATGGATACAATGAGGAGCAACATTCCACTAAAAACAAACCAACCAACAAACCCAAACAACCGGATTTCTTTAAGATTTAACCTTAAGGCAATGTAGATAAAGTTCATATCTTAATTTATCAATGATATGGTTACCAACTCCCACCAAATAGCCATATAGGTATCACTGTTCAATAGAAACTTGTAAATGAGATTGTCAAGAGACGTCTGGTCTTCCTCAATGGGATTAACTACTTAGTTTGATTAGTCTGAATATAGATTGCACTTCCTGACCTTCACCCCCAATCTAGCTTGTACAAAACCTCAATATGGCATATAATCACATTCTTGGTATAGCAAACACCTACTAAATGCTTACTGATTGATAGGAAGAGAAAAGAATGCTAATTTAAAGGGTGAAGATGAAGAGAATAGTGATAACAACAACAAAAAAACCCTTTATTTGAATGGACTTTTTTAAAAAAGTAAATATATACATATTTTAATGATAAATTTGTATCTTTTGCTATATGCACACACACATATATATGCATGCATATACATGTGTGTGTATATATATATATATATATTTTTTTTTTTTTCCTTTCAAAGAAACTGGTTTTAGGGATGAAGCCTATATTTTGGAAGGGCAACATGGTATAGGGACTGGATTGGAATTAAGTAGATCTGGGTTCAAATTCCTCCTCATGGGCCAATCACTTGTCTGTGCCAGCTTTCTAATTTGTAAAATGGGGTAATACCTGCAGCATCGATCTCAAAAGGTTGAGAGAAAATGCATGTCAAATGCTTCTGAAACTTTAAAGCATTAAAATATCATTAGAGAGACAACATGGTATAATGGATGCAGAGTGGGCCTCAGAGTCAAGTCTTGTCTCTGACACACATTGGCTATGTGATCCTTGGAATAGTATTTAACCCCTCAATGCCACACATAAGTCTCAAAAACTCTAAGTTACACATCAATTACCATCTACATTGGTAGAGAAAACTTCCTGACTGGAAATTCCCTATGCTAATGAAATAAATTACAGTTTTGGAATAGATTGGAAATAATCCTTTATGCAGCAAGACAAGTCATTTCTTATGTCCTAGTCTTCTCTTCTCCAAATTAACCCTAACACATTTATCTGTCTATAAACTTTTAACAATTTTTATTGCTCTTCTCCAACTTCTCCGTATTTCACAACGTGTATTATATATACAAATCTGCATGTGTATGTGTGTATGTGTGTGTGTGTGTGTGCATATATATAATTGAAAAAAAGAACTTTAAATAACGCCTAAATCTACTATACCGAATATAGTGCCTTGTTTTTCAGTTCCCATATATCATTATATTCCATCTAATATGTATCATTGTCATCTATTAAAGTCCCCCCACAGTCATCACGGTGTTGGGGGGAGCCTGTTTTCACAGCCCTATGTCAGGGAAAGCTAGTACCAAGAACCAAGTACCAACCTTAGTACCAAGGTACTAAGGATTCCAAGATGGGCCTAGAAATGGACTATGATGCTCTTAGCTTAGCTAAATTTTCTAAGACACTCATCTCCAGAAGACAGGCAATTGCAGAAATCTACCTTAATGTGATAGACTAATGAAGGGCTTATCTAAAGCATCTGACAGCAATGATATCAATTGATTTTTAAGATTCTAAGTAGCTTTTTCATATGGTTCCAATTCAGATACTAGAGATCTACACACATGATTTGCATCAGATCTGTGAGAAAGATTAGGTAAAGTGGATTAGGGAATGTTTGGGGCCACAGCAACTCATAAGAATGTCTAATGCCTATCTACTAGGGCTTAGCTTCTGTACCAGTGGAAAGAGTTCCCAGTGTCACAATTTTTCTTAAAACATTATATTTGGTTTCAGCCTGTAGTCAATTAGGACCTTCTAATATTTCTCTATTCATGTGTTAAGGCATGGTAGGAGTTGTGATCTTCATCTGTGGATGGGGACATACACTCAGATGAAATCATGGATCTGTGAAGCATTAAAGCAAGTGCTGAAGCAGTCATTGACCTCAGGCATAAGCCAAAGTAGATGTTCTGGAGAATACTAAAAATTGCTCCCTATTTTGTCTCACAATGACTTCAATACAGCAATGAAACGGTGGGTGCTCCCAAATATTCTTGCTCTGCCGTGTTCCAAATTCATGGGAATTTGCCAGTTGCTACAGCTTGGTTCACTGATGTAGTTTCTTCCCCAAAGTGCTAAAGGTATACTGGGAATTCAAACAACACAGATGATGAGAGAGGGGTATGAGAATGAATGAATCCATCACAGTCAGTAGTCCAGTGAGGAGTTGAATTTCTTCTCCCTTTAAACTTTTGTCTATTCTGACACAAGAAATTTGATTTTACGTAATAACTTCTCATTAACATATCAGTAAAAGTTTTTCATTCTTTCTCTAGCTATGAAATTGACCCGCTAGTGTTAACACTTTACACAAATTCCAAAGTAGGAAAATAAAGGCATATTGGGGGTTAGGAATGGTGTGTGTGGGAAAACCCCTGCATTTTTTCTTGGTTTTCTTTTTAAAGATAGGTGGAGCGGAGAGGAGAGGGAGAGACAGGGCAGGAAATACAAGAGTAGATACAGTATTTGTCTCTTTGATTTGTTCTAGTTGAGTTCTAATCTGATCCACACATCCAGTCCAGGGTCATCTCTAACCAAATACACCTGTTCTCTATCCCATCACATGGGTCACTGAAAATACCAGTGAACATTTGGAACAAAGCTGTCTGTGCTCTGTCTCGTCCACAGGGAAAGTGAATCCAGAAGCCATGTAAGTAAACAAATCTAGTTTGCTTAGAGCGGGAAAAAATGGAGGATGATTTCATTCTGATAAGAAATTTAAGACAATATCCACGAAGAAAACTTCATAGTCAAAAACATAATCATAGACTCTTACAGCTGAAGTTATCATCCAGTCTAACTCCCTCATTTTCTGGATGGGCAAATTGAGCCCCTCAGACGGAAAGTGACTTACCCAACGTCATTCAGGGAGTTGGTGTCAGAGTTAGAACTCACATCCTGATTTCCTTCTCTATGCTTCCCTTTGTAAGCTAGGAAAACCTAACTTCTCATTAAGGATATAGGAAAACTGGCAGGACTAATGGCAAGTGACAATAAAAAATGGGTTTTGACAACGTGCTATACAATGATTTAAGTATTTGTTATTTTGTGGGATGATATATTTCTACCCACACAAATTGTAGTTGAAAAAATTAGGCTCTGGGGACTTCTACAATGCAAAAACCAAATAGAAAACAGGAAATTAATTACAGAAATCTGCGTTAATGTAATACACAAATTAAAGGTATATCTAAAGGAACTCACAGAAATGGTACAAATTGATTTTAAGATCCTAAGTAGCTTTTTAGTATGATTTAAACTCAGCTGCTACAAATCTACACACATGATTTGCATTAGAGCCATGAAGATTAAGAAAAGTGGATTGTTCTCCATTCCAAAGGACATTCAACATGCTGAATTTTACAACCAAATGGAATCTGTTCAGCCAAAACAAATACTTTTAAGAATCGCATTTCTATCCACATGTTTAAATCCATTTTGATACATCACTTGTGTATGAGCACCTAACATGGTAATAATGGCTAAGTTTGTGTTAGAACTTGTGTTCTAAAATATCTTTGCCTCAGACTTTCCTTTATTTCTGAAGTTTGATTTTAAAGATATTTTAGAACACAAGTATCTTTTTTTTTTTTAATGCAATCAGCGTTAAGTGACTTGCCCAGGGTCACACAGCTAGTAAGCGTCAAATGTTTGGTCTGAGGCCAAATTTGAACTCGGGTCCTCTTGACTTCAGGGTCAGTGCTCTATCCACTGCACCATCTAGCTGACCTCATTCTAGTTACTTTGAATGACTGATGGATGGGTGATCTTACTGCTGGGGGATCCCTCCAACTATGCCAGTCACAACCCATCCACACCATTTTGTCCTATAGGCCTCTTGTCTATGTCCTACTGTAAATATCCCATTGGGCAGGCCCAGCAACATGCTGGAGATCATCCTCTAGGTTGGTTGACATATGAATACCATCATAGCATTGGGCTATCCATCAGTGAACTCTCATTCTTGCTATATGATGAGACCCTGCTGTTTTCCCATCATATAACTCTCTGGTGACCTCCTTT